AAGTGTAAATACCTAAGTTAATATTTTACAATGAAGGTAACAAGGGTCCAAAATGAACACAATCAAGCAGTAAACCATAAGGAGCCAAAAGTGGTCACAATGCCTTGCAAGTCCTCATATCCATAAAGTAATGTCTGTTAATTATTTTGAATAACATACAGTTCCTCTCTTGGTTCCTGCTTTCCCTCAGCTCAACTCCCCCAACCAGGGATCTGTGTCTGGGCTCAAGCTCACCGTATGGCAAGGCCCATTTCCTAGGGGCCTCACACGGGAGCGATCCCCACAGATTCCCTCATACTGATATGTGATGGCTTATTTCTGCCATTTTATTAATTGATCTCTGATTGTTCTCTCTCTCTCTCTCTCTCTCTCGTTGTGGTTTGATGGTTTTATATAGTGGCAGCATTTGAGTTTTTTCTCTCCCCTGTTTGTGTGTTTGGTCTATGTGTAGGTTTTATATTTTCATGTGCTTCCATGATGATAAATATTGTTCTTTCACTTCCAGGTGTAGGATTCCTTAAGCATTTCTTGTAGCTCTGGTCCAGTGGTAATGAATTCCCTTAGCTTTTGCTTGTCTAGGAAAGACTTTATTTATCCTTCATTTATGAAGGCTAACTTTGCTGTGTTTAGAATCTGAGACTGGCAGAGGTTTTTTTCAATATTTTGAATATATCATTCTATTTTCTCCTGGTCTGTAAGATTTCTCCTGAGAAATCCACTGTTAGTGTGATGGGGGTTCCTTCATAGGTGACTAGATGCTTTTCTCTTTCTGTTTTAGAATTCTCTCTTTGTTTTGACTTTAGACATTTTGGCTATAAAGTGCAGTGGAGAATCTAAGAGCCCCCTGAATCTGTATGTCTAAATCTCTTGCTACACTTGGGAAGTTTTCATCTATTACTTTAATTAAATACATTTTATTTTTTATTTATTTTTTCTTTGAGACAGGGTCTCACTCTGCCACCCAGGCTGGAGTACACTGGTATGGTCTTGGCTCACTGCAACCTACACCTCCTGGGCTCAAGCAATCCTCCCATCTTTGTCTCCTGAGTAGCTGGGACTACAAGTCTGTGACACCAAGCCCAGCTAATTTTTTCTTTTCTTTTCTTTTTGGAGATAGGGGTTTTCCAGGTTGCCCAGGTTGGTCTCAAAATCCTGGGCTCAAACAATCCACCTACCTTTGCCTCCCAAAGTGCTGGAATTACAGGTTTGAACCACCACACTTGGCCTAAATAGGTTTTTTATCCCTTTCATTTTCTCTTTGCCTTCTGGGACTCCAAAATTTTGACTAATTGGCCACTTCATGGAGTTGCATATGTCAGAAAGTCTCTGTCCATTATTTTTTTTTTCTTTTTCCTTATTTTTTTTGACTGGGTTATTTCAAAAGACCTGTCTTCAAGTTTCAGATTTTTCTTTTATTTGATCTAGTCTATTGTGGATGCTTTCAAATGTATTTTGTATTTTATTTGATGAGTCTTTTATTCCCAGAATTTCTGTTTGGCTCTCTTTTATGATATCTATCTCTTTGATAAATTTCTCATTCATATCCTGAATTTTTCTTTTTTTTATTGTTTTTCAGTGTTCTCTTGTCTTCTACTAAGCTTCCTTAAAATCAATATTTTGAATTTTTCAGAGTTTATAAATTTAATTTTGACTGGAATTTATCGCTGGAGAATTATTGTGTTCCTTTGGAGGTGTCACATTTCTTTATTTTTTAATGTTTTCTGTGCCGTTATATTGATATCTGTGCATCTGGTCTAATAGTTGCTTCCTCCATTTTTTTGAATTTACTTTTGTAAGGGAGGAAATTTTCCTGACAATGTTTTGCAGTGTTGGGTAGGGCATTTTGACTATTATTCTGGGTGGATGCAGTAGTAGTCTTGGTATAATTCTTTAGCTGTAAATAGTGTTAGTCGAGTCTTATTTCCTCAATGGCTTAGAGTGTGGTTATTAGTAGAGGCTGTGAAGTTTTTCGGGAATGTGAATACCAGGTGGGCCAGTCTTCAGGTCCCAATGATGGCAGCAGTTGGGCTGAGTATGTCTGCCTTTGGGGCCCCAGTGTGGTGTAGGCTGGCACCAGTAGTAGCTGGTCCAGCCAGGCTGGTTCTTAGGCCTATAGGCTGCTTGTTCAGATGCCAATGATGGCAGCAGTGAGCTGAACAACAGGTTATCAGGCCTCTGAGTAGAAGGCATAGCATGAGTAATGGCAGTAGCAGTGGCAGGTAAACCCTCTGCATCCCAAGTGGTGCATACTGGTGTTAATGGTGATTGCAATTAGCTGGGCAGACTAGTCTCCAGGCCACAAATGGCACATGAAGGTAGGTTCCAGCTGTAATAGTAGTAGCAGGGTGGGTAGGTCCAACCTCAACACCTCAAGAGAGGTACTTAGGTACCAACAGGGGTGGCCTGGGCTGTATAATTCTCCAGACTTTGGGACTGTGTTTTCTAGCCCTGAGGGGTGGGGTGTGAAGCTACACAAGGCAGACTTGACTTCAGGCCTCTCAATGGTGTGTGCAGACACTGACTGTGGTAGGCAGAGAAGGGGTGATTCCCCAGGCCCCTGGCAGAGTATTCAGGGATACACTACAGCCTTGAAACTGAGGAGGCCAGGGTTGCTTTCAGTGGCATCAGTTGTACACAGGGGAGTGAGAAATGTGCTTCACTCGCAGTTCAGCCCTAATAGCATCAGCCTGTGCTTGACTTGCTGATGCTTTGTGTTCCACTTGTGTTCCACACATGCTTTAGTCCACATGCAGCAGTCCACAGCAATAATAGCCATGGGCAGGAAACTCTATCTAGGCATGTGAAACTGCACAGTGGCTTCACTGCTGGAGGCAGTTGCAGTCTGTGGCCTGCACTCGGGCCCTAGCATCTGAGGTAGCTCCAGCAGTGGCTGCATGCAAAGGATGTCAGTGAGGCTCTAGGGATGGGTAAATGCAGGTGCTGTTGGGACCCAGGGTGAGGTGTAGTCTACTGGCATTGGGATCTCAAAATGGCACGTTGCTGTAGCTGCTTAGGTCTCTGGGAGTGTGTGGGACCCAGGAGCAGTGCCACTATGTAGTCTCCAGGCAATTTCCTATGTTAGTTTCAAGGTCTGCAAGAGTTGAGGCCCTCTCCCATGGCTAAAATTGCAGGAGTTCATAGTGGGAATGGGGCCCACTGGAGGTCTCTCACTAACCTTTCCCTGCACTGGGGAGTCTCTCCTGGCTCCCAGCTGATCCTGGAAGTAGGTTGCTTCTCTTTCTTATTCTTCCTTGCTTTAGGTGTTTTCTGTCACTTCTTCATTGAATTCCAGCGTTTGCTCCTGGATGATCTATTTTAAGTGTGATTATCTACTATTTAGGTTCTTCTTTGTGGAGGAGGTGAGTAGGAGATGTCTCTGGTCAGCTGTCTTGAAGCCCCTCAGCAGCTGAATGAAACAGTTGCTCTAAACAGAAGTAGGCATCAGTGGCCTTTTACATGTGGAGATTATTTACTTAGCCATTTTTAAAAAGTCTTGAACTCCAAAGGTTTAAGATTACTTCCAATCCAAGTATCTGAATAAAAAAAATTCAAGACAGAAGGCGAATAAGAAAAGAATCCCAGCTGCTGGGTGGTACTATTGTTCTGAAAGTATTTGAGCTATTTTTTAGCATTAAGAGCAGCCTAAGTTGTCTGTGAATCTTTATTTCTGAAGGCTCTCAGGTCACGTAAAACTTATATTAAATAAGCAGAATCTACAAGGAACTTAAACATATTTTCAAGAAAAAAATCAAAGAACCCCATTAAAAAATGGGCAAAGGACATAAACAGACACTTCTCAAAAAAAGACATACATGTGGCCACAAACATATGAGAAAAGCTCAACATCACTGATCAATGCAAATCAAAACCACAATGAGATACCACCTCACACCAATCAGATTGGCAATTATTAAAAAGTCAAAAAGCAACAGATGCTGGCAAGGTTGTGGAGAAAAAGGAACACTTTTACACTGCTGGTGGGAGTGTAAATTAGTTCAACCATGTGGAACACAGTGCAGTGACTCCTCAAACACCTAGAGGCAGAAATAGCATTTTACCCAGAAATCTCATTACCAGGTATATACCCAAAGAAATAGAAATCATTCTATTATGAAGATATATGCACATGTATGTTCATTGCAGCACTATTCACAATAGCAAAGTCATGGAATCAACCTAAATGCCCATTAATGGTAGGCTGGATAAAGAAAATATGGTACGGATACACCATGGAATACAACACAGTCATAAAAAGGAACGAGATCATGTCCTTTGCAGGGACATGGATGGAGTTGGAAGGCATTATCCTCAACAAACTAACACAGGAACAGAAAACAAAAAACCACGTATTCTCACTTATAAGTTGGAGCTGAATGATGAGATCACATGGACACATGGAGGGGAACAACACATGCTGGGCACCTGTCAGGGTGGAGGAACACAGGAGACCATCAGAAGAACAGCTAATGGATGCTGGACTTAATACCTGGGTGATGGAATGATCTGTGCAGTAAACCACCATAGCACACATTTACCTATTAACAAACCTGCACACACTGCACATGTACCCCTGAACTTAAAAGTTGAAAAAAAAACTTACATTAAATAAATTTCTATGTTTTTCTCTTGTTAATTTGTCTTTCATTATAAAAGTCACAACCATAAGACTCCATAATGGATGAGAAAAAGATATTACCTTTCCTATCCTACTATAGTCATATATTACCTTAAATTGTTTGCTAAATACTTCTTAGTCCACAAAGGAATTCAGACTACAAATAAAGACTATTTAAAAAATAACAAAATGTGAAATTACAAATTATGACTGAAGCCTAAATGATACTTAAAGGGAACTGTATAGCCTTAAATTTGTTTTTAGCAAACTGAACTAAAGAGAGAATGATAAAGGGAAAAATGAGTAATCAAGAAGCAATTAAACATAAGAATAATAGAAAAGGGGAATAATATCAATAAAAGCAGAAATCCAAATATTAGTCAAAGAAAAAAGAAGAATTTTCTTCTTGGAAAAATGACTCAAAAGGCTGCAACCACTGTGGAACATTTGGCCATCCAGTGTCATTGGTCTCAGAGGTCAGCAGTTATTGGAGATGCCCTTCAAGTCTACAGTGGGTCTGAAGGGAGGGCTACTATTTTCTGTGAGACCAAGAAGAATGTAACTGAAATGGCCATGAATCCACACATAAAGCAGAATGCCCACTGTTTACATGGGGACATTGCACAGTCACAAAGAGAAATTACACTAAAGGGCTTCAGAGAAGGTAGTTTTAAAGTTTTGGTGACAACCAATGTGGCTGCCCGTGGTTTGGACACTCCTGAAGTTGACCTGGTTATTTAAAGTTCTACTCCTCAGGATGGTGAGTTCTATATCCATCGCTCTGGATGCACAGGTAGAGCTGGATGGACAGGAATTTGTATATGTTTTTATCAACCAAGAGAAAGAGGTCAACTAAGATATGTGGAGCAAAAAGCAGGAATTACTTTTAAACGTGTAGGTGTTCCTTCTACAATGGATTATCTAAAAGCATGGATGCCATCAGGTCTCTGGCTTCCATTTCTTATGCTGCTGTTGATTTTTTCCGACCATCAGCTCAAAGACTGATAGAAAAGAAAGGGGCAGTGGATGCATTGGCTGCAGCCTTAGCCCACATTTCTGGTGCATCAAGCTTTGAACCACGATCTTTAATCACCTCTGATAAGGGATTTGTGACCATGACTCTGGAAAGCCTAGAGGAAATACAGGATGTCAGCTCTGCTTGGAAAGAACTGAACAGAAAGCTAAGTAGTAATGCAGTGTCTCAGATTACCAGAATGTGCCTCCTCAAAGGAAATATGGAAGTTTGCTTTGATATTCCTACAACTGAGTCAGAAAGGTTACAGGCAGAGTGGCATGATTCCGACTGGATACTTTCAGTGCCAGCCAAATTACCTGAAATTGAAGAATATTATGATGGAAACACATCTTCTAATTCCAGACAGAGGAGTGGCTGGTCAAGTGGCCGGTCGGGCCATTCAGGCCGGTCAGGTAGACAGAGTCGACAAAGGAGTTGATCAGGAAGTTGACCGGATGGTAGAAGACGAAGTGGGAATAGAAATCAATCAAGAAGTGGGGGCCACAAACGGAGTTTTGACTGAGTATTTGATAGTTTATCTACCAGTGTGAGCTTGCCTATTTCTGCCTAATCATGTACATAATCCACCAAAAATTAGGTCTTCATAGTTGAGGTATGTGTCTGCTATTTGCAAAGAAGTTGGTCGTATTTTTTTAAAAAGTATTTCACAAGAATGGTTGTAAACAAATCTACTTATCCAGTTATACCTTTGAATAAAAAAAAAAAAAAAAACCTCCTTTTATTGTCTCTTTTCAAAAAAAGAAGAAGAAGAATTTTCTTATGCCCCAGCCCCATTGGTCTCATTTAGTTTTATTTTCTGCCTCAGAACATTTTCTCAACCTGGAATGGAATTCTCCTAAATAACATCTAAATGACTAAGTCTTTCATAGATTAAACCTTCTTTCTAGGGTTTCTTCTTTCTTTCAGAGAGGTTTCCTTGACACTAATATGGGTTAACTCTTCCTAGTATATTTCCTGATACTCTAGGACTTACTGCATTTAACTTGTTCACTGCCTGTATACCTCACTAGACTAGAAGTTCCACAGGACAGAGACCATGACTAACCATTGCCCCACTGAGCCTCTAGTGTCCAATAGAGTAATCTGCATATAATGCTGGCTTGAAACATTAGTTCTGAATGAATGCATGAGTGAATAAATAAATGGAAGAAGTCTGAGGAGAAAATCCAATCAAATATACAATTTTCTAAAAACGTGAATCCACAAATAAAAATGAACCCAAACATACAAAATTAGAAATAGGAAAAAGGAGATAACAGATGTTTATGATATTTTGTAAACTGTCTTAGAGCTCTATGTGTAACCCTATGTAAACATATTTTAAATCTTACTTAGATCAATAATTTCCTGGAAATAAAATAAAACAAGAAAAAATACAATAATCAGAAAATTTTTGTAAGTTTTTCAAATATAATCACTGCAAAAGTTCTTGCAAACTTTCAAAGAACAAGAGTAATTTTTAAACTGCATAATCTAGTTTTTATAAGCTAGATATGACAAATAGAGTACAAAAATAGATCTTAAACCAAGCTCATTTATCAACATAGCAATAAAAATACTAAGTAGAATTCCACCAAGTCAACTATAGGAGAATATTAAAAGAACAAGTCACCTTGGCCAAGTAGAGTTTATCTCAAGAATTCAAAGAGGGTAGAAGATTTAAGAAATATAGTACTGGCTGGGTGTGGTGGCTCATGTCTGTAATCTCAGGACTTTAGGAGTCCAAGGCGAGCAGATCACGAGGTCAGGAGTTTGAGACCAGTCTAGCCAACATAGTGAAACCCCATCTCTACTAAAAATACAAAAGAAGTAGCCAGGTCTGGTGGTGGGAGCCCGTAATCCCAGCTACGCAGGAGGCTGAGGCAGGAAATCATATGAATTTGGGAGACAGAGCTTGCAGTGAGCCCAGATTGAGCCATTGCACTCCGGCCTGGGTGACAGTGCAAGACTCTGTCTCAAAAAAGAAAAAGAAATATAGTACTGTAATAACTATCACTAGATGTACAAAATAGAACATCTGACCTAATTTAGAGCGTGTTTCTGATAAAACACTTCACTAATTAGGAACAGCTAAGCTCATACTTAATGGTAAAACAGGGCAAGAGAAGAGGAGGGGATAGAGGTTCCTTTATGCATGTCGTTTTCAGCTGGCTACTAGTGCTTACCCAAAGTACTATGTGAATTCTTAAGCTTACTGTATTCTCAGCAGGAAATAGTGCCCCAGGACCAACGTCTGCCATGGAAAAGGAAGATCCTTTGGTATATTGCAGACATTTCCATAACGGCAAGGCAAAGAAGCCCCCTAGCAACAATTATTTAAGACCAACTTGAAATTTTCAGACAGTATAATAAGGCAGGAAACAAAATGTGAACTGTAACTATTGTACACAGAATCAAAATTATTTGTATTTCCACATGATACTGCTAACTAAAAATGGAATAGAAGAAAATGAAACAAAAAAGATTAATAAGAGAGCCCGGTAAGATTTTTGATAACAAAATAAGTATTTAAAATTCAAGAGTTTTTCTATATTCCTATAATAACCAGTTAGAAAACGTAATGGAAAATCCTACTCAGAATATAAACAAAAAATATAAAATACATAGGAATAAGTGTATTATGAAATGAATTGAGGTCCTATATGAAGAAAACAATGAAACTTGAAGTGACCTAAAAAGGGACTTAAATAAATAAATGGCTATCTCAAGTTTCTAGATAAAAAGATTCAATATTAAATAAAGTTTATTCTTGGCCAGGTGTGGTGGCTCATGCCTGTAATCCAAGCACTTTGGAGGCCAAGACCTGAGGCCGGGAGTTCAAGACCAGCCTGACCAACACAGTGAAACCCCATCTTTAAAAAAAAAGTTTATTCTCCCCATATTAATTCATGGAACAAGTACAGTTCCTATCAAACATAGGAGAATTTAACCGTGATAGAAACACAATTTTAAAATATAAATCACTGAAGGAGGATAAATCTGAACTGGCAATTATTAAAAGATAACAGAAAACCAGAAAATTGTTTTGTGAAGTATTGACCCAAAAAGACACAAATAGATAAATTGAATGATTAGAAACCCCAGAAACATTTATGAAATTGATATACATGATATATGATAAAGAAATTGATTTTGTGATCACAGGATGACACAGGTTAATTTGTTGGATACAAAGTTGTATCTCTTCTTCATGGAAAACCAAAAATTAATTTCAAAATCATTGAAAATACTAAATATATAAAATGAAAATATATCAAATCTAGGTGTTGATACAGATTAATATTTACATAATCTTACAAGATGGTGAGAATGAACTAAGCATTAAAAAATGACAATAAGAAACACTGATGGACTACAGAAGATTTTAACAATTATATAAATACACTATCTCTCTCTCTCTCTCTCTCTCTTTTTTTTCTTTTTTTGAGACGGAGTCTCGCTTTGTCTGCCAGGCTGGAGTGCAGTGGCAGAATCTCAGCTCACTGCAACCTCCATCTCCCAGGTTTGAGTGATTCTCCTGCCTCAGCCCCCCAAGTAGCTGGGCCTATAGGTGCCTGCCACCATGCCCAGCTAATTTTTTTGTATTTTTAATAAAGAAGGGGTTTCACATGGTTGGCTAGGCTGGTCTCGAACTCCTGAGCTCAGGTGATCCACTCATCCCAGCCTCCCAAAGTGCTGGGATTACAGGTATGAGTCACCATGCCCAGCACACACACACACACACACACATACACACACACACACAATCTCAATTTTTTTTAATTAAACTAAATTTTACAATATATGTGACTAACAAAGAATGGACATCCTGACAAACTGATTTTAAAAATAAAAAGACAATTAGTGGTGACTTCTGAGATTCTGGTACACCCATCACCCAAGTAGTGTACACCATACCCAATGTATAGTCTTTAATCCCTCACCCACCCCCCACCCTTTCCCCCAAGTTCCCAAAGTCCACTGTATCATTCTTATGCCTTTGCATCCTTATAGCTTAGGGTCCACTTAAGAATGAGAACATATTGATTTTCCATTCATGAGCTACTTCACTTAGAATAATGGTCTCCAATTTCATTCAGGTTGCTGCAAATGCCATTATTTCATTCCTTTTTATGGCTGAATAGTATTCCATGGTATATATACCACAATTTCTTTATCTGCTAGTTGATTAATGGGCACTTGGGGTGATTCCCTATTTTTGCATTGTGAATTATGCTGCTATAAATATGTGTGTGCAAGTATCTTTTTTGTATAATGACTTCTTTCCTTCTGGGTAGATACCCAGTAGTGGGATTGCTGGATCATATGATAATTCGACTTTTAGTTCTTTAAGGAATCTCCACACTGTTTTCATAAAATTGATTGTGCTAGTTTACATTCCCACCAGCAGTGTAAAAGTGTTCCCTTTTCACCACACCCATGCCAACATCTATTCATTTTTATTTTTTGATTATGGCCATTCTTGTAGGAGTAAGGTGGTATCTCATTGTGGTTTTGATTTGCAACAAAACAATAAATTTAAATTGTCAACAAACATATGAACAAGATGGCTTTACTAGTACTCAAATTAACACTGAAAAAAAAATCACCATTTTCCCTATCACATTAATCTTTAAGAAAATTTTAATACCCAGAGTTAGTTAAGTTTTAGTGTAAAAGTACTCTCATAAATTGCTAATAGGATTATATATTGGTAAAATCTTTTCGGATTGTTCACTAAATAGAATAATGTTTCTCCAAAATATCCACAACTTAATCTCCAGACCCTATGCATGTTGATCACATGACAAAGGGGGTTTTGCAGATGTGATTAAGACTCTTGTGATAGGGGGATTATCCTGGATTAGCCATATCAATGTGGGCTTAATGTAATCACAAGGATCCTTACAGAGGAAGATGAAGGCAGAAACATCAGAGTAAGACAAGGAGATGAAATGATGGAGGAAGCAGAGGTGAGAAAGAGAGGAAGGAAAAAAATTAGAAGATGCTACACTATTGTCATTAAAGATAGAAGAAGGGACTATAAACCAAGAAATGCAGGCAGCTGCTAGAACCTAAAAACCAAAAGGAGAATAATGATGGATTAAAGAATGAAAATGTATTCCACGGGCTTATAAACCATTTATCACTCAGGGCCTCCAGTAGTAATGCAACCCTGCAGACCTACAGGACTGTTAAGAACATAACATATTGTTTAAAATCAATAAGTTTGTGGCAATTTGTTTTTGTTTTGTTTGAGACAGTGTCTCACTCTGTCACCCAGGCTGAATACAGTGGCACAATCTTGGATCACTGCAACCTCCATCTACCCTGTTCAAGCGATTGTCACGCCTCAGCCTCCTGAGTAGCTTGGATTACAGGTGTGGGCCACCACACCCACCTAATTGTTGTATTTTTAGTAGAGATGGGGTTTTGCCATGTTGGCCAGACTGGCCTCAAACTCCTGGCCTCAAGTGATCTTCCTGCCTCGACCTCACAAAGTGCTGGGATTACAGGCATGAGCCACCATGCCTGGCCAGTTTGTGGTAATTTGTTATAGTAGCAATAGAAAATTTATACAGAAAGAAATTAGACAACTTTCAAACTATATCTGATCTATGATGTAGCAACTTAATTTCTAGGAATCAATCTTAAAGATGTTATCAGAGAGAATACAAATAGCTAAGTAAAAGTAGGTTCACTGCAACAATGTATAGTACTTAACAATTGAAAGTTACCTAAATTTGAAATAGGGGATTTATTAAAT